AACCAAGCTATGGTACATACACACAATGGAACACTATGCAATGCTAAAGAATAATGTAGAATCTGCAAAACACCGCATAATGTGGATGAACTTGGAGGACATTATGCTGAGTGAAATAAGACAATCACAGAAGTACAAATACTGTATTAGTCCGTTATTGTAAAAGTCAAGGAATGGTTTATCTACGGAAGGAAATTTTCTTTGTTGGTTACAAGGGGTGGGAGGGGTGGATAGGGAACACTGTTAGATAAGTAGAGATAAGTATTGATTTGGGTGAAGAGAAGGGCAGTGTACCAAATGTGAGTGATCAACATGATGTCACTGAGGAAGAGGAAGACATAGAGAGGTACATGGGAAGTGCAGACAACAAAGATTAATCCTTTTGCACATACAGTACTGCGTTGTCAGTGAAGGCAAACATGGGTATATGGGTGGATAGATGGTTGGGCAGGCTGAACTATTAGGTATGTCTGTGCAGCAGGGATTGTACCCAAGACCATGTATAGGACTGGCAGACAATGGTTCTACAAGTGTATTTGTATGTTCTGTAAGAATACCCAGGAGCATAGTAGAGCTGACAAGGGACAAGTTTGTAGTCACTTCTTGGTCACAGCCAGCTACCCAGTGGGAGTGAGTAATTGAACCAGTGGACTCGGGACCATAGTCGCAGGGGACATCAAGCTCGATTGGCATAACATGCTACACAAAACATTGTTCCATATCCTATTTTAGTGAATAGCAACTGAGACCTCAGAAGCTTGCAAGCTGTCATCTAGATACAACAATGGGTCTCTCCTTCTCCAGAGCAAAGAAGAATGAAGAAAACCAAAGATTCATGGAAATAATTAGTCCTTGTGACCAGCACACCATGCAGTCATCAGCCTATATGACTATGAAACCAGAAGAACTAGGTGGTGCCTGGCTGCCACTGTCAACCACTCAGAGGGGGATCTATGTAGAAGATCCTGGATAGAGGGGGAGAACAATGTGGAACAAAACTTAAAATCATTTGGGGAAAAAAAAAGGGGGATCAAGTTTGCTGGTCAGATAGAGCCTGGTGGAAGCAATGAGGCTATTCTCCCTAGCTGCCCTTCAGGTCTAGAATTGAATCCACATGTGTGGCTTCCAGCCAAACAAAAGACAGGCATATGAGTTGAACATGTACCTGAGGTAGATACACTCCTTGGGGAGAACAATCATGGGAGAAAGAGGGGTTGTTTATACACCGGGAAACAGTTCTGGTGACAGGAGTGCATGGAGGCATGGACGCAGGGAAGAGGTAACTATCGGGAGGAAGCGGGAGGAGAGCTGTTGCATTGGTGTAAATTGTAGTCAATGTCTTGAGACAACGTGTGTGTGAACTGCTGTATGGAAAGTGAATTTGCTCTGAAAACTTTCATCCAAATCATGATTTAAAAAAAAAAAGAAAAGGAAAGAAGAAAAGAAATGAGCAATTCACTTATGTCTTGGAATCTGAGGCTGAGAACCTGGAGTGTAACAGCTGCTTGGAAGAATTAAGTTCAACAGCCTGGGTAATGGAGAAGGAGGGGATGGCAAGCTTCTGCTGAAGCACCAAATTACCCTCAGTGTCCTTCCCACCTCAGGACATAGGTCTTCCAGCGTGCTTTACTAGAGGTGAGCAGTAGCAGCAAACTCTCTTTAGTCCTGTTTCTCTGAGGGCCCCTCTAGTCACTTGCAGGTGCTTTTTGGAAGCACTCCCTAAAAATCTGTCTCAGTCACTTCTTTCACATGAAGGACTGCAGCTGTGTCTCTGGTGATGGGGATAAGGCTGACAAAAGGCCTTCTAGAGAACTAGGTTCTTCAGCTGTGAGCCTGACAGACATGAGTTGCTCTGCAGGCTGGGAACTGGATGTGGGGAGGAAACCTAAGTTAAAGTGCAAAATAGTCAGGTAGTAGGTTTCTTATTATTGTTATATATGTGCAGTGCTTGATAATGAGATAGTCAGTTAGTGAGCAGTAGGTGTATTTTAAGCAGCTCTGGTGACATAGTGCCTAAGGCATTTGACTGCTAACCAGAAGTTAGCAACTGGGATCTTGAAAGCTTGCAAGCCGCCGTCTATATGCAACGATGCAGTTCTAGATGCAGATCTAGATGCAGTTCCTTCCATGGAAGGAAGATGGGTAAATCTACTTCCATAAAAATTTACCACCTCAGAAACCCAATGGGGGTCACTGTGATTCTAAACTGAGTTGCTGGTAGTGAATTTGCTTTGGTGTATTTTATTTTAATTTTTCTCCCCCAGATATCTGGTACCTTTTCCTTTCCATCTGAAGAATTCTCTTTAATCATTATTTCAAGACAGGTTTACTAGTAACAAATTTCCACAACTTTTATCTGAGAATGTCTTGATTTACCCTTGTTTTTGAAGGACAGCTTTGTTGGGTAAAGAATTCTTGGTTGACAGTTTTTTTCTTTCTTTTATATTTTGTATATATCATTCTGTTGCCTCCTGGCCTCCAGCATTTCTGAGGAGAAATTGATGGTTAACCTTAATGAGGACTCATATATGTTATACTGGGTGTGAAAAGTTAAGATTATGTGTCAATTTGGCTAGGCCATGAATCTTAGTAGTTTGTCAGTTATGATATAGTCATCTCCATAATAAGGTCTGATATAATGTAATCACCTCCATGATGGGATCTGCTATGAGCAGCCAATCAGTTGAAAGGGGATTTCTTTGAGGGTGTGTCCTTCTTCCAATAAATATGGATGTTCTGGTAACATTCTCTGGCTTTTTGCTCTATCTGGATCCTGCATTTGGCTCCTCATCATCTGACTTCTGGTTCCTTGGATTTGAATCATAAGCCTGCTGGATTGCCTATTGATCTTGGGATTGTTACCTTTACATCTTGTGAGCCAGCATTCTGCCATTTTACCTGCCAATCTTAGATTTGTTATTTTTTACAGCCAGCAGCCTGCTGTATTGCCTGTTGGTCACAGATTTGTTAGCCCTTGCAGTTATATGAGTCAGGAGAAAGGGCCAGCCTGACATCTGATCTACAGACTTGGGATTTACAGCCTTTACAACTTCCTTGGAAGGAAGGTTGGGCAATCTATTTCCGTAGTGATACTGCCTCGGAAACCCAAGGAGGGGTCGCTGTGAGTTGGGTCCGACTCGACAGCACATAACAACAACAACAACAACAACAACAACTGTGTGAACCATTTCCTTGAGCTAAATCTCTCTCTCTAAACTACTGGTTTTGCTTCTCTAGAGAACCCAACTTAAGACACTAGGCTTCTCTCTTACTGCTTTAAGAACTCTCTCTTTGTCTTTAATTTTTAAGAGTTTGATTGATTACAAAGTGTCTCATTTCAGTTTATTCTACCTGGAATTTACTGAACTTCCTGGATTTGTAGGTTCAACTCTTTACTCAGGTCTGGAAAGTTTTCTGCGATTATTCCTTCAACTATTCCTTCTTCCTCTGGAATTCCCATGATGCATTTGTTGGTTCACTGGATGATATCCCACAATTCAATTTGACTTTGATTGTTTTTGTTTATTCTTTTGTCTTGTGTCTCATGTTTTTCTGGCTGATTCCAGGCTGTTATGAAGAATCTGACACAACAGACAATCAGCAAAATTTCCATTTGCTTCTTTGCTGGACTAAAGGGTACATGAATACTATTTACTGTGTGCCAGGCATGTTCTAAACCCTGAACAATATTAATTCCCTTAATCTCAAAAGAAATCCTGTGTTGTGAGGGAGAGCATTTATATATCAATATAAGGAATCTAGAGTCGTAGAATTATTGGCAGCTTCGAGCACAACTGTGCAATAAAGAGAAAACATATTGAAGATAATCATTTATATAATTGCAACTTAGTTGTCATTGGCAACTTTAACTTACTCCAAAGTAGAGCTGTCTCAGGTTCTGGTTTGGGAATGAGGTTTACCGTGGAATTCAGAGGAAAGAAATAAGATGTGTATCCTATTTCTCTTTTTTCTATTACAGCTATGTTCCATGGAACCTCCATGAGCCAGAAAGAGGCAAATTTTACTTTTCTGGGAACCTGGATCTAGAGTAGGTATTTATGTTACTTCTGCTGCCAGATCTTAGGTGGGACATAGAGAGGGGGCCACCTGGGGTTCCTTAGGAACAATGGGACATTACCAGAAGAGATGGAGTCTGCAGCCATATATTCAGGACACTTAGAAATGGTCTGCAGCCAGGACCAGGCACTCTGGTTGGCACTTGTTACTCCTGGTGGGGTAGAGCCTGCAACCTTTGTGCCCAGACTTCTCACTGAACCCACAGAGGCTGCCCAAGACCCCAGGGGGAACCTGGGTGCAGTGTGGGCCCATTACCTGGCTGGGATAGGGGCTGTTATTAGGGGTCAGTTTCACTGTTACAATGCTTCTGGCAGCTTCTCTAAGCCCTTGCTCTTTAGCTCCCCAATGATTCTGAAAACTCCTCTCCTAGGGATGCTTATACCTTTGAATTCCCAGCTCTGCTCATGGGAGGGCTGCAGCATTTGCTTCAATGAACTCATTTCCCTGGTTTAAAGAGTGAGGTGTGAGGCGAGGCACTGAAAGCTCTGTCTCTACACTCCATGCTCTTGTGTTCTGTGCAACAGGCTTGGCATCCTCTGTCCTCCTCTGGTCCACTCACCTCTACCCTCCCCTCCAAGCCTCAGCTCTGACTTTCATGAGAGCCACTGACACTGTCTCTCTCTTTAGGGCCTTTATCAGGATGGCTGCAGAGCTTGGGCTCTGGGTGATTCTGCGTCCAGGCCCCTATATCTGCAGTGAGATTGATCTTGGTGGCTTGCCCAGGTGAGCACAGCTGGGAAGAGTTCAGATTTGTGGTTGTATTTTGCTTTACCAAAAGTAAACTCTTAAATCTTATAATAATAAAAAATAACCTTTGTTGAGCATGAATTACTTGTCTTGCACTATGTGTGTATGTCAGCTCATGTAGTGCTTGTAGTAATGTTGCTAGGTATAGCATCTATTGCATTCTTGTTTTATAGAGACATTAGAGGTACTGGGCCTGTGTGTGAGAGTGGAGAGGAAGCAGCAAGATGATCACATTCTTCTTTCTCCATAGAGGGGGCAGCTATGGTAACTTCTGCTCTTCTCTTATGGTAGGAAGGAAGGAAAGGGAAGGCGCTAGAGAAGGGTAGGGCTTGTTCTGACAGGCTCAGTGTGATTTTTCTTTCTTTTGTTCATGGTAGGTCACATTCTCCACTGCAATAAGGACTCTAACCCTTCCCTCCTTATTTATTTTTTTTTTTAGCTTGCTATTTCACCTATGGTACTAGTTCTTTGCCAAGACAACCAAGGTTCGGGATGAGAATCCATGAATCTTCTTGTTAACTATATGAGCTGGAAGGAATCCCTGTTCATACACATCCTACTTCTGGATGAACATTATGACTCCCCAGAGCTGGATCACAGCCTTTGCTCCTAAGACAGACTTTTTCCCCCAGCCCAGCTCCAGAGCTGAAGAGGCATGGCTTTGAGGGAAGGGTATTTTAAAGCAGCATTTGTTCATGGTACAGGAATCTCATTGGTGAACTGGAGCATGTTTACTGGCTTGTAAACTCCTACACTAAGGAGCTCTGGTGGCATAGTGCCTAAGACATTTGACTGTTAACCAGAAGGTTGGCAGTTCAAACCCACCAGCCACTCTGTGGAAGGATGATGGGGCAATCTACTTCCATAAAGATGTACCACCTCAGAAACCTAATGATGGTCACAGTGAGTCAGAATTCGCTCAAGGGCAGTTAATTTGATTTTTGTTTTTGAAAGGTGGTCCTATACTACACTTGCAGTTTTAAGTTTTTGAGGGGATGTAGTCCTGTGCTTAAGGTGTATACACTGTGTTCAACACAAAATGTTTCTAGTTAATTAAGAGTGGAAAAGAAGATCTAATAACTGTCACTAAGGCATGATGCCCATGAGCTTGGCCTCTGCTTCTTCTCTTAGTCTGGCCAAATGGAGGTGAATGCACTTTGTAATGGTCACAGCATCATGATAGTGTAAGGATTGTATTTTCTTCTGAATCTCTTGAGTCTGTGAGAATCATCCAAAAAACTTACTCTGTGCAGACACTTTCTGGACCACTGAGGGATATAGAGCTGTGGGGTGAGCTCAAAGAAGCTAATCTGTGTTGAAAGGAGCTCTGCAAAGGGCCTGGCTGCCACTCTAGCCCCAGCCCTGTTCAGCTGTACTCTATCTAGTCTTCCAGTCTCAAATGCTGAGCTTGCTTTCTTTCGCCCCCAGCTGGTTGCTACAAGATCCTGACCTGAAATTGAGGACAACCAACAAAGACTTTGTTGATGCAGTGGATCATTACTTTGATCATCTTATTCCCAGGGTGATCCCCCTCCAGGTAAACCAAACTACTTTTTCTTGTCTTTACATTTCTGTTATGCAAATAGTTTGTTTAGTTTCTATTAGAATTGAAGCTGACATTCCTGCTGTGTTGAATTCTAGACCCTCATCTTAAGCACATAAGATTTTATTTGTCCTGCCCTTGTACCTGCCAGTGCTTTTGTCCAGTGTCATAGAGGGCCTCACATGACACAGGATGGGTCCACATAATGTTCTGTGCTTACTGCACATGGTTCTCATTGTTATTCTGGATGTACTTGAGATCTGGCAAAGGCACTTATCTTCTAACTGCTTAGCTTTACTCTTATATTACCTTTAAAGGGTTTATGTAAACACTTGATAAAAAACTCAAACAAGTACAAAACAGTTTATGGTTAGAAAATCTTCCCTCTCACCCTGTCCCAAAACCACTCAATTTTCTCAGGAAGCAACTAGTTTTACCAATGTGTATCTTTCCAGGGATTTCCTACACATATAGAAGACAATTATTATATTTCTATGTATTTACATATATGTTTGTACTTTTTTATTTAACACATAAAGTTCTGTTGGCATTTTGCTTGTGTCACTTGAAAATACATTTTAGAAGCCTTCCATATCAGTCTTGTTGTTGTTGTTGTTATGTGCCATCGAGTCACTCCGACTCGTAGTGACCCCTCCTTGAGTTTCCGAGGTGGTATCACTATGGAAATAGATTGCCCCACCTTCCTTCTGAGGAGTGGCTGGTGGGTTTGAACCGCCAGCCTTCTGGTTAGCAGTCAAGTGCTTTAGGCACTATGCTACCAGAGCTTATAGTTGCTGAATAGCATTCCACAGTGCAGATAATATCATCATTCACTTAACTAGTTCCCCGTTAACAGATTTTGGATTTTTTGAGTTGGTGCTACAATAAATAACTTGGTTCTTGTGTCATTTTTCACCCATGACTATTTTTGGTATTGCTTATGCATTCCTGTATGCTTTTTACCAAGAGTGTGAAGAGCCCAGTTTTTCCCTTTTTTCATGGTGTACCTGCACCTTGTGTACTTGTCAAAAAATGCGTTTGTTATCACAGTGTCTACCTATAACTCATAGAAGTTCATTACAAAAAACAACATTATATCTGCAGTCTATAAGTCACCAATTGTTTGATAGTTATGATATTGTTTTGTGTGAGTTTTTATAATACAACTTTCTCCTTCTAAACAGGATGGGCACACAATTGTTATTTAAATAAAAATAAATCTTATTTAAGAATATGTCTCTTGATATAGGTGGAGGTGGGATAAAACCAGGATTATTAAGTGGTAGATTAAACCTTATTATCATAGACTATTTCAAACCTACAAGCAGATCCACAGAAAAAAAGATGGATCAGTCTGCTTCCATAAAGATTTACAGTCTTTGAAACCCAGTGGGGATCACTGTGAGTCAGAATCAACCTAATGGCTGTGACAGGGACACAGACTCAGCCCTTTATAATTAATTCTGCATTGTGTGTTGCTCTTACTAGAATAATTATAAACAGAAGACAAGGAATTATTAAGTAAAGTAAAGGGAATTATATTTTAGGAATAAAGTTTCTTCTATACAGCTTTAGGAAAGGTGAGAGACACTTGTTGAGGAGTTTGGGAGAGCGTGCAGTCCTTCTATTCAATTCATGGGTTTGCTGTGTGGAATTGAGGTACATATTATGAAAAAAGAGCTTAAGCCATATGTTTCTGGCTGCATTTTTGCAATCTAGATGGGATTCAGTGGCAGGTGTAAAAGTTTTGGAACCTTAAAACTAGAAAGATTTTTACTCTGGAGGACCAGACATAAGTATAAATTCCATTTACCATTCATATATCTGTAGCGAGGCAAAGCAAATTTATAATATCTCATTGAAATCATGAGCATAGAAAACCCAAGCAAATATTTAAGAAGCAGAATTGATAAATGCAAATGAAATGTATAGGGGCCTGTTAATAAATTAATACCATTTTAGTCTTTTATTGGATTAGGTGCTTCCCATGTTTTAATTATGCAGTAAAAATCATACTTGAAGAGGACTTATTGCTTTAGTTGGTACCTTTATTTTTCTATTCCTCTTTATTTCATAAGGTCAACTTTGAATTCTCCTGTGATGAGAGTTTTAGAAATCTCATCCTCCACATTAGGAGAAGATAATGTAAAATAATAAAAACAAATGCTCTCAATTAGTCAATTAATTAAGAATGTTCATTTAATAAGGATTTATTAACCACCTGTTGTATATACTGTAGTAGTAAAGATTAGAATGATGAGCAGTTCAGATGTGGAGTCTCTACTCATTGAGTTTATAGTACGATATGGGAGACAAGCACTTACAATACGAATGTTAATTGTCCCCTATGGAGGAGGCACAGATGCTCATAGTGAGCATACAACAAAGCCTTGGCAAGATAGCATAATAGACAGACAAGCTACCCAGATACTCTACAAAAAAGAAATAAGAAACCAATTGAAACAGATACAGAGGATAATCCTGGAACTCTGAGCTTTGAAGGGAAGGATAAAAAAGTGAGTTAAATACCAACTAATAGGAGAAACTGAAAGAAGACAGCAAATAAGAAGACAAATGGTGCTGTGAACTGCTGATTGGCCTGAAAGCTCAACCATTTTGAATATTTTCAAGTGGCATTCCAATATAGGCAGCAACTTGATAATTTGCTCCACTTGCCAAAGACTGCACAGGCAACCACACTGATGGCTGGGACCATGTCCACATGACCCAGTCACATCCACACTTCTTGCAACCCTTGCCACTGGGCAAGGGCCACCACTTCCTTCTGCACAACTGTTCAATGATAAGACAGTGGCCAATCAGCCCAACCCACCCTCAACTGCTCTATATGAACTGCTAAAAAAACAAACAAACAAACAAACAAACAAAAAACCTGGGTGAATCACACCAACATACTATGACCAATTAAATATAAATAGAGTGACATCACAATGTCTCAGAGAGACCTGCCAATCCCAGTTCACACAAATAAGCAAGATAAAATAATACAGACAAAGGAACAGAATACAGAACTAGAAAACTTCCCTGAAGAAGAAGTGACATTGAAACTATATAATAAGGAATTCAAAAGAATTATATTTAAGTACCTTCAATGGATTGAGATGCAGATCAAGGAAAAAACTGACAATATTTGAAAAAACAGAAAAAATTCTACAAGAATTTTGGAAAATATGAGAACCAACTGACAAAATTAAATTAGAAACCATACAAAAATGGCAAATAGAAATCCAGAAGATCAATTCTGAGATTTCAGAAATAGATAATACATTGAAAAAGCAAAGAAGTAGAAATGAACCAATGGAAGACAAAATTAGTGAGACTGAAGACAAATCTAGCACTTCTACTTTGTTAAGAAAACAAATGAGGGAAAAAATAAAAGCCTAAGAGATATGTGGGACATCATCAAGAGGAATAATTTATATGTGATCAGAATTCCAGAACAAGAGAAGACAAATAAAACCACAGAGAAAATTGTTGAGGATTTGTTGGAAGAGAACTTTCCTAATATAATTAAAGATAAGAAGACATGCCTTGAAGAAGTTCAATGAACCCCAAACAGGATAAACCCCAAAAGAGATCCCAAGACATATCATAATCAAACTTTACAAAACCAGAGACAAAGAATCTGGAAAGCAGCATTGGAAAAATGAAAAGTTACCTTCAAATGGCAACCAATAAGACTAAGCACTGATTTCTTGGCAGAAACCATGTAGGTGAGAAGGCAATGGGCTGACATATATAAAACCCTAAAAGAAAATAATTGCCAACCAAGAATTCTATATCTAGCAAAATTGCCCCTCAAATGTTAGGTTGTTGCTACATGCCATTGAGTTGGCTTTGACTCACAGGATATGGCCTTATGGACAACAGAATAAAACACTGCCCAGTCTTCTGCCATCCTCCTGATATTAGCTATGCTTGAGCCCCTCATCACAGTCACTGTCAATCCATCATGTTTTCCCCTTTTTCACTAACCCTCTATTTTACCAAGCATGATATCCTTCCCCAAGGAGTTGTCCCTTCTGACAGCATGACCAAATTATTTGAGAATTCTGGCTATTCTTGCTTCTAAGGAACATTCTGGCTGTACTTCCAAGACAAGTCTGTTCATTTCTCTGGCAGTCCATGGTATTTTCAGTGTTCTTCACCAAAACCACAATTCAAAAACATCAATTCTTCTTTGGTCTTACTTATTCATTGTCCAGCTTTCACATGCATATGAAGCTATTGCAGATACCATAGCTTGGATCAGGTGCACCTTAGTCTTCAAAGTGACATCTTTGCTCTTTAATACTTTAAAGAGATCTTTTGGAGCAGATTGGCCTAGTGCAGTACATCATCTGATTTCTTGATTGCTGTTTCCATGGGCCTTGATTGTGGATCTAAGTAAAATAAAATCATTGACAATTTCAATCTTTTCTCTATTTATCTTGGCGTTTATTGGTCCAGGATGGTGAAATTAGGACATTTCCAGATAAACGGAAATTAAAAGCATTTGTAAAAACAACAGCAACCTTCCAGAAGATGTCAAAAGGAACCCCTTTGACAGAGAACCAACAATAGCAGTCAAAAACCTGTGATTAACACACATGACAACATGCCACAGAAAGCAACCCAGATATAGAAGTATCTGAAGTGAAATAACCTTACAAGACTGAAAGTAGGGATCCAGGAACATCAGTTGGTAAATGAGGACAACCAGAAAGCAGAAGGAGGGAATAAATAGTGTAGTTACAGAATTTCCAAATGGGGAGGAATTCAAGATGATTTTGAGATAGAACAGACTGTTTTAAACATGGGAAGAAAATAATAAATCACAGGGAAACCTCAAGGAAAACTAATAAACCTCATAAAAATAAAAAAGAAAAGTCAGAAATATTTGTCAAGTACTGAAACAATAGAAATGAAGGAAATTATTTTCTAAAATTCATAAACAAAATGAACTCAACACAGAAAATTAGGTGGAACAAGTA